CCTTTTTTTTTTTTTTTTTTTTTTTGAGATGGAGCCTTGCTGCTCTGTTGCCCAGGCTGGAGTGCAGTGGCACAATCTTGGCTTACTGCAACCTCTGCCTCCCAGGTTCAAGTGATCCTCCTGCCTTATTCCCCCTAGTATCTGGGATTACAGGCACGCACCACCATGCCCAGCTAATTTTTGTATTTTTAATAGAGATGGAGTTTCGCCATGCTGGCCTGGCTGGTCTGGAACTCCTGACCTCAGGTGATCCACCTGCCTTGGCCTCCTAAAGTGCTGGGATTATAGGTGTGAGCCACTGCGCCTGTCTAGTAACATTTCTTTATGTGAAGAAATGATATGGGAATTAAAAAAAGAGTAGGGATGATAGGATTATAAGGAATCTGTGTAGTGTCTATTTTTAATTTAAAAAGATTTAGAGTGAAAAGCCTGTTCTTCACTATAGAACTTATTATCTGAGTAAGATTAGAGAAAAATCACAGGAGAAAACAAATTTAGATGAATTGGGTGAGAATGTACAGAACGAACGATTTCATTTTTAAAAAAAGAGGTCTTAAACAGCTATAATTTAGAATATAATTATGTAAGTGAAAAAGTCCCCAAAGGCGACCTTAACCCTAATTCGCTATTCTTTGCTCAATTTAAATTCAAAGAAAAGTATAAATGTTAACATGCTATACCTTCTGTAGACAAGATACATCTGAAATTACAATCTTAAGTATTTGCTGATTCAATAAAGCTCAGGAATATATTAAGTATAGATTAATATTCACAAAGTACTGAAGTCATGAATTAAGCCTAGAATGAAAGAGAGTAATCATGTAGGACAGTGCATTCTGTTTAAAGGATACGGTTAAACTTCTGTATTTTTTCAAGTTCAGAAGCAACAGACCTGTGCAAGAAAAAAAAAAAAGTTCATACAGTTGTCTGATTCTTTTATATTCATAGTTCACATAAGCATACCTGACTTTTTTTTCATAAAGGTTAGAATTTTAAACAGAAGAATGCAGAAGAATTCTCCTTATATTACCTTTATGTAGTAACAGATAAACTTGACTCAACTGATACTGAGTGCCTTTAAAGGTAAGTGAATAAAAGTCTATCCCTTGTAAATCCACGTCGAGGAATTTGTATACCAAATTTTGACGTTTGAGGATAACTGGCCTTCCTTCTTAGTACTAACCTGGCATACATTCTACTTTCCTCCCTAAAGTTTACTAAAACTTTTAAAAACCTATTAAAATCCCATTCCTGAGGCCGGGCATGGTGGCTCATGCCTGTAATCCCAGCACTTTAGGAGGCAAAGGTGGGCAGATCACCTGAGGTCAGGAGTTTGAGACCAGCCTGGTCAACATGGTGAAAACCCATCTCTACTAAAAATACAAAAATTAGCCAGGCGTGGTGGCAGGCACCTGTAATTCCAATTAATCAGGAGGCTGAGGCAGGAGAATCGCTTGAACCTGGGAGGTGGAGGTTGCAGTGAGCCAAGATTGCACCACTGCACTCCAGCCTGGGCAACAAGAGCAAAACTCCATCGCCAAGAAAAAAAAAAAAAAAAAAATCCCATTCCTTCTGTGAAAGAAGTGTTCTCTCCTTCCTTGAATTCCTATAACATTATATTAATCACATATTTATTTTTAATATCGTCTCTTTAACAATTTAACTTCCTGCTCTTCTTACCTAGATTGTTTCTCTCAGAAAGTATTTTTTATTTTTCTGTACTTGTGCATATATTAAGGCCTCATTTATATGGAATTCTTTGGGAATGGATGGTATGGGAGATCCAAGTTTTTAAATAGTTGAATTATGTGTCAAAACAACTATTTTGTATTAAATTCCTTTTGGAATAGACTACCTACTTATTTCATTGTTTTCTTAAGCTCAAAAGATTAACATGCGAACATTAGCTCTTACCATAGTCTATAGAAAGATACTGGGGCAACTGGTATGCAGTGGAGAGCTGAATATATATACAATTCCAGCAGAACCCCTAAATGTGTGTTCTTTATCATTTTTCTTATCAAGTTAGAATGAAATACGAGCAATAGCAAACAACTAACTGTAACTTGACTAGTTCTCTGCAAAATTAATGTAGACATTGGTCTAAAACATTCAAGTCACTATAAAAATCTTCACACTTCATAGTAGGGTATGTGACTTGTCTGCTTTACTGGCTTTACTACAACAGATCACATGCACCTCCTTGTCAGCTTCTACTCTTTTCCCTTGTACTCCAGCCTATGGAGGGAGAATGAAAAGAAATATTTCATTGTTTTAAACATCTGTGGCAAAGAACTTGGGTACAACTTACTCCAACAGCTTGCTGATTCTTCATCATTGCAAAATATCTTTTTTAACCGAAGACACGTTCTTCTGGTTGTAAGAAACGATACAACCTTTAATGTTGCTCACGTAATGAACCAACTTCTTATGAAACATGTACTATTTGTTGACTAAAAAGTTGAATTAATAAACTAATAATGAAGGGTGTGGTGGAAAAAAAATATTAGAATATAACTTAGGTAGCTTTTTATTGTACAGTCGTGTATTTTCCTTCAACCTACCCTCTTTGATAAGAAAAACCAAAGTGGAGATACCTGAGGCTTTACCAGGGGAATAGAGCTCAATTTCCTCAATTTCCTTACTTTGCCTCTGGTGTTCCTAGTTGCTTTCACCTTTAGCTGCTATCACCAATCTCTACTTGTAGTTTTTAGTGTGTATTGATAGATTCTTCTCAGCTTTCATATAAAAAGGCTGATGATATTTTACAAATTGCCAGGTAAGCAATGGAGAAGTGACCAGTTTTGTAGACATGCACAATTTCCCTTCCATCACAATTGTATTTTGCTAGTTACTTTAGCAACTTTTCTGCTTCCAAACAGGCTATGGCTAAAGGATAAGGGATCTGCAAAGCTGAATCCTTAGATACTTGAGATATTCAAATAACACTTACTGATCTGATTTGTTCTAAGAAATGACTTAGGAAAAGCTAAAAAAAATTGGCTAATGTTTTCATTTTGTTTCACTACACTATGCTAGGTCACCTCACAAAACTTACTTTAAAAGCTTCCTAAATTGTTCCTGGTCTCCTTGTCTTCCAATATATTCAGGTTAGACTCTCAGTGACACTAATCCTCTAATGACCTTTCTTCATATCATTTTTCCATTTAGGACCTTCTAATTCCATTCTATTTATTATAAGATCGATTTATTTATTTATTATAACTTCTATTTATTATAAGATCCATTCCTAGCCCTCAAAACTCACACTATACACTAATAGAGAGCATATGTTCCATAAAAACTATCTTCCATTTCCACAGGCTAAAATATCCTTTTTACTTCTGCCCTTATTTCCTTCCTAAAATGTCTTATATTTTCCCTAAAAGTTGCTTTGAAGCTCAGTTCTAGTACCCTGCACACTGAAAAGCATACAGGAGGGACTAAAATACTTGCTTTATTTGATCTGCCAATTAATTTTGGGGAAGTAACTAATATGACAAATTATTTAAAAATCAATTTTTTTCTGAAAGCCCATGTTATTAAACATTTTATTTCCTTTAACATTACTAAAAATTTAAGAATCCCCTTTAAATTTTTCCATAAAGTTTTCAGGATGAATTTGTCACATAAAAAGAGACACTCATTTTTATGTTGTTTTCAGTGCAAAGTTTTCTTACCTTCAGATGAAATAGAATATGATGAAATGTAATAAATTAGATGTTTAATTAGAAATACATTTTCTTCAAGCTTAGGCTACCAAAAATACTTTAGGAGTTAATCATATTCAAAACTAAGAAAGTTTTTTTGGGAAAAAAGTCTCAGTTTACCGTTTGACGCTTTAATTTTTTAAAAGCATTAGCTTTTCTAAACATATTAAGTTTAAAAGAAAAACACCAATTTTCTTGGAGAACACAAGATGACAAATGAATGGGGATCTCTCTAGACTATTCTGATAAAAGTCTCAGTTTACCATTTGACACTTTAATTTTTTTAAAGTATTAGTTCTTCTAAACAGATTAAGTTTAAAAGAAAATACCAATTTTCTTGGAGAACAGAAGATGACGAATGAATGGGCATCTCTCTGGGACTAGTCTGGGTCAGTCTCCTGCACCATGATGTTACTGTTGTCACATACCTAAAGTGAATACGTTAAAGGAAATACTTAAAAAAATGAACTTGAATACATTATAAAACTATACAAAAATTTAAAAATCATTAAGAAAATTTGGGAAAAAGAGCATAAAGAAAAAAATATTAAAGTGAAGCATTTACTGGGCAATTTTCAAAATTTTTTCACTGGTCATAGAAAAGCCAAGTTTTTTCCATTATTCATCAAGAGTAAAACAATTTACTTATATTTGTGATTAATAAGAATGACATTTAAGAAACAAAGGTGATATTTGGATTTCATTTAAAGTTCAATTCAAATGTTCTAATTCTTTTAGTTTCTCAAAGTAAAATGCATTCCATTAAATTTTATCAGAAAATGTCAACAAATAAAACTGAGTATTTGCTTATTAAAATTTAAACCAAAAAACACCTGCTAATGCATACACACATATGCTTATGCTCATATGTATGTGTAATTATATATAACTATCTAAAACAGTATCAAGCTTAATAAAATGAATAATCTAAAATGATTGGCTAAATCAATAGAAATGAACATAATGAAACCTCGTCTCTATTAAAAATACAAAAAGTTAGCTGTGCGTGGTGGCGTGCCTGTGGTCCCAGCTACTTAGGAAGCTAAGGCAGGACAATCGCTTCAACCTGGGAGGCAGAGGTTGCAGTGAGCCAAGATTGTGCCACTGTACTCCAGCCTGGTGACAGAGTGAGACTCCATAAAAAAAAAAAAAAAAAAATATATATATATATATATATATATACACACACACACACAATTTTAGTTATTCGTGGTTACAAACTTTATTTCAAATTGGTTAGAGGATTAGTTAATTGTTAACATAGCTGACCTCCACAGCAAGTCAGTATGTCTGTAACACATTTCATTTTGAAAAGTTACTTGAATACAAATGAAATGATTAAAGCTGACTTCATCTATTTAGTTATGCTAAACACCAGTACAACTATCAACTATGAAACTATTGAAATGCCTTCATTATTATCCACATGGAAAAACTAAGAATATATACTGTATAACATTTAAATAATGTTTATAGCTTCTTCTCTGTCAGTTAAAAGTAAAACATAAAAATAATTTTAAAAATTGCTTTTCAGTACCTTTCATATGGTCCAGGGTGTTCAACTTGAATTAACTGATCTTGTCCATCAGGAAAAGTTAACTTACACCAACTTAAGTTAAGACCTTGATTTGCCTTAAGAAGCAAAGTAGAAACATAAGTTTATCAATTTGGAACTGAAAACAGAAACATAAACAACCTATTCTAACTTCATTATTAACTTTAAAAAATAAGTAGAGGAATCATTAAAGATGCAACAATTTAAATGTTGTTTACATGAGATATGGGTGTTATTTAACCACCACTCATATAGGTAATTATCAAAGCAAATGAAATACTAATTGCTCTCTCTATCATCAGTTATCTTTATAAAAATGACTATTTGTCAAATCATTCTAATTTTCGCTAGGAAATCCAAAGAGATCAGTGAAGCTTCTTGACAGATTTTATATTTCAAAAAATGAACTGAAATAGTGTGGTACTTTATTTTCTTTCTTCTATTTTCTACAGATAACCAATAAAAAATAGATTTCAGTCTGAAGTATACCCACCTGTCCCTTCTCAATAGGAGAGCTGAAATTCCAATTTAGGGTTAGAGTAATGCCATCTAAAAAGATAGCATGTACTCTGTCATCAGAGTAGGCAAGAAATCTTCCCACGCTGGGTATGAGTGTCTCTTTCAAAAGCAAAGGGAGTATATTGCAATCATTTATTCCAGGTACCTAAAACCAAGTAAATAAAAATAGCAGGAAATAGAGTTATCTATGAATAAGGTTTAAGTGAATATTAATGACCCTCAGGCAATTTTAGATTCTTATTCAGAAGTCAAATATTGTAAAATCCTTATATTTTAACTGTTTCATAAATGGATACCCAAAACAGTCTTTTTTCAAGCAGATTCAGTTCTAATATCTTTGTAAAGTCACTGTTCTGCTCTGAACTTTATATCCGATAGAGATAAAAATTAGGAACCTATAGATTTGTCATTAAATAATATAGATACAGAAATCAAGGTCTGAGAATCATTTCCTCTAAATCAGCATTAAGGAATTTATTTTTACAGTTATGAACACATAGAACACTATAATATGGTTTATAATGACTGATGTTTTTACATATTTCAAATCCAATCAGTTCCCCTATCCTTTTCTCTTCATCAAAAACAAAAACCATATACAATAAAACTGTAACATAAAATTCTGAACTTTCAGTGTTTGTCTACTAGGTAAGTATTTTTCTGAATAAACCAATATTAATGTTACAAAGAATTTCTCATATGACTTAAAGGAAAGCTGTTTGAATTCAGAAGTATGGATACAAACAGTAGAACAATTTTGAAATATCTTGAGTTTCATTCTTGTTGCCCAGGCTGGAGTGCAATGGAGCAATCTCAGCTCACCACAACCTTCGCCTCCCAGGTTCAAGCAATTCTCCTGCCTCAGCCTTCCAAGTAGCTGGGATTACAGGCATGTGCTAATTTTGTATTTTTAGTGGAGATGGCGTTTCTCCATCTTGGTCACGCTGGTCTTGAACTCCCGATCTCAGGTGATCCGCCTGCCTTGGCCTCCCAAAGTGCTCAGATTACAGGTGTGAGCCACCATGCCTGGCCAATCTCTTGCTTTTAAAATAATTTTAACATACCATTTTCCAGCAGCATATATGATAATTATGGCTTAAAGAAAGTCTCATTGTCACACAATGTTGAAGAATTCTGTGAACATGAAAAATACTACTTAAACATTTGCAAATGACATTTTCCAATTCTAGCAACCCATTTTCACTGCCATAAAACATTTTAGATGATCAGTTAATCATTTCCACTGAAATGTGTTGGGAACTCTTTTTTTCCAGAAATCCTTAAGCCCCTAGAAGGGAACTACTGTGCTAATCTTACCTATGGTAAGGCTATTCTCTAATTTTTAGCAATGAAATGATTCCATGGACAGAATTTTCAGGAACTCCTTTTTAAAAGGTGATACATTCGCAGTGCCTAGAAGGTTTCACATAGCCTAAAAATGGTAGGGATATAAATCAACTATCCCTCGGAAATAAAATTACAAAATATGCTTCTTCAAATCTATTTTGGAAATTGCTTGTACATAAATTTATGAAAAGAAATAATGTAATACAACAATCCACTTACATTCTTCTGGGTGCCACAGACTGAGAGAATTTTAAAAATACATGAACCAAAGAACCAACCTATGCTTAATCATTACTACACTCTCAGAAATCTATTACTTGGAAGATAATAAAGAAGTATAAAAATTTTAAATGTACCATCAAATCTCTAACTTGATTTCAAGGAACAATAACAATGCCACACTTATCCAGAGAAAGGGCACTTACTTCCTCTCAGCACTTGCTCACCATATATGGATATTTCTCCATACTTAAATTACAAAGCCTGAAGTACTCTTTAATAAATGACATAAAAATTACCTTATTTTATAACTATGAGACCAAAAACGTTGACAAATTTTACCAAAGGCATATATTTCCATTGTACCTGCCAATTCTTAACCTTACCCTTAATCACAAGAAAATGTGCCACAATGTTTAGATACATAACATTTGATTCAATAGAATAGGAAGAACTTACCTTGTTGCCTGTTTAATTAGAGAACAGACAGAGAACGGACTTCCTGGTCTGTCTGGAGGAAGGTTATTTACTGAGTAAGTTTTCTCTTTTCTCTGAAATTAGTTAAAATGAAAAATCTCATTAATAATAAATTTTGGCCTTTATTACTTAGCTGTTTTTCCTTGAAATGTTTTTATAATAGTGACAAGATGAGTAGTTATTTTAACAAACTAAATCCCATAAAACCTGTATGTATGTATGTATGTATGTATGTAGGGGTGTGTGTGTGTGTGTGTGTGTGTGTGTGTGTAATTTTTTTTTTTGAGACAGAGTCTCACTCTGTTGCCCAGGCTGGAGTGCAGTGGCATGATCTCAGCTCACTGCATCCTCCACCTCCCAGGTCAAGCAATTCCCCTGCCGCAGCCTTCGCAGTAGCTGGGACTACAGGCACGTGCTGCCACACCTGGCTAATTTTTGTATTTTTAGTAGAGACAAGGTTTCACCATGTTGGCCAGGATGGTCTTGATGTCCTGACCTTGTGATCTGACCATCTCAGCCTCCCAAAGTGCTGGGATTAGAGGCATGAGCCACTGTGTCAGGCAAAATCTGTACATTTTAAAAGTTATTTTATGAAGCTTTTTCATTTTCCCAGTTTAAAAAAATATAGAATTACTCCTATTCATTCAAAAGTTTTATATATATATATCTTGAAATTAAATATATCTTGATTTCAAGATTTATATTTTAATATATATAAATTTATATTTATATTTATTATATATTATATGTATTTATTATATATATAATATATATTTATATATAATATATAAATATATTTATTTTTATATAAACATATACTATATATATTTATATATATAAACATATACTATATATATTTATATATATAAACATATAAATCTTGAAATTGAGTTTTATATATATACATAACTTTTGAATGAATAGGAGTAATTCTATATACACATATATGTATATATATATATATATATATATTTTTTTTTTTTTTTGAGACAGGGTCTTACTCTGTCTCCCATGCTGGAGTACAGCGGTGCGATTACAGCTTGCTGCAGCCTCTGGCTCAAGCAGTCCTCCCGTCTCAGCATCCTGAGTAGCTGGGACCACAGGCACACGCCACCATGACCAGCTAATTTTTTAAAGTTTTTTGTATAGGTGAGGTCTTACTATATTACTCAGGCTGGTCTCGAACTCCTGAGCTCAAGGATCCCAAAGTGCTGAGATTACAGGCATGAGCCACTGTGCCTGGCCCAAAAGTTACATTCTAATAACTTATAATTTATTTCCCAATTTAAATATTAGGCATATTTACGTGCTAACCAAACTAATTTTCCTACACATTAGCAGGAAATTTACCACAAGCCACCCCTTTCCCTTAAGACAAAAAGAAATAGCTATACAGATTAAAAAAAAAAAAGCATTTTAATTGAATGAATATACCATTTTGCTACATTAATGGAAGAACTATTGCTATAGTTTTTGGAAGTAAAAATTATTTATGGGCTGAGATTATTGAAATTTGAAAATAAAAATATTTTAAAATTCTTTCTAAATTTCCTCTTCTTTAGACTTGCTAGTGTTTCCCAGGACTCTGTCTCCAAACTTCTCTTCTGACTTCTTGATTTCTTTCTAGGTAATCCCAAAAGAGTCCAAAGCTGGCCAGGCGCGGTGGCTCAAGCCTGTAATCTCAGCACTTTGGGAGGCCGAGGTGGGTGGATCACGAGGTCAAGAGATCGAGACCATCCTGGTCAACATGGTGAAACCCCGTCTCTACTAAAAATACAAGACATTAGCTGGGCATGGTGGCGCGTGCCTGTAATCCCAGCTACTCAGGAGGCTGAGACAGGAGAATTGCCTGAACCCAGGAGGCGGAGGTTGCGGTGAGCCGAGATCGCGCCATTGCACTCCAGCCTGGGTAACAAGAGCGAAACTCCGTCTCAAAAAAAAAAAAAAAAGAGTCCAAAGCTGTGTTCACATTAAATTACATAATAGCAACAGCTAACATTTATGGAGCAGATACTATGTGCTAGGCACTATCCTACCTACTTTACATGGATTATCTCATTTATTCCTCAAAATAATACTGAAATAACTATTGATGCTTGTGTTTTAGATGAGAAAACTGAGACTGAGGGCTAAGAAACAGGAGAGATCTGATTTAAACCACCAAAAGAGTGCAGCTCATACTCTTTACCATTAGGGGAAGAAGATGGTCTTCAAAGTCAGACAGATGTGGATTCAAATCGCAGGTCTGCCTCTTACCAACTATAATTATGGGCAGGCTATACAACCTTGTGTAAGCCTCAGTGCCTGCAGCCTGTGAAATGGAGATTCTGCCTACCATCCAGACTGATCTGAGGATTAATGATATAATACACATATAAAGTACCTGGGGCAGAATTTAGCATATAATAGGTACCAAAAAAAGTCTCTGTCCTTTTATCCTGGTCTATAGACCTGGCTGTCTAAATCTCTATTGGGCTTCTCTTTTGGATATCACAACAGACATCTCAACATAACCATGTTAAAACTTGAATTAGCCTCATTTAAAAATTTTCACTTTCACTTTCTCTATGCTGTATTTACCTTTGGTATATCATTTATCATATGTTGTCTCCTCTACCTAAAACTCAGTTCCCTCTTCCAGCACCTCCCTTTGCCTGGCTAACACCTATTTCTCCTTCAGTCTCAGGGAAAACATTGCAGAGGTTCCAGAGACTAGGAGAAATCCCCTAGTCATGCCCACAAGCACAGTTCCCTCTGATCTTGCCTTTTGGTCCTAATTACAATTTCAGTTTAATAATTTTTTACTTAATGTCTGTTTTCCCTGTTAGAATGAAGCTCCATGAAGGAAGGGGCTGTGTCCGTTTTGCTCATGTCTATATCTTCATCATTTATTAGCAGAGTGCTTAGCACATGGGAGGCACTCAAAATACCATATTTTAATTATTTATGTCTTTGTTTACTGGATATTGAGTTCCTTCTGGGTTCTTATTTCCACAACCCTATTTCATCAACTCTAAAATGCTTATTTTTTACAATTTAACCTCCCTGAAATCTGGATCCATCTTACAATTAAAAGTGAGTGTCTTATAATCTATTAGGGTAGGTGGGGTTGAGATATAGTTGAATTTTAATCATCTCAAATTCTTCTTTGACATCTCATGGTAAGCTCAAAAGAAAAAAAAAGCCATCATCAAAAAAATTTAGATTTGATAAAAATTTTGGTTTCACACAGTACCTGGCACCACCATCTGGCATCCCTTTCAACTCCTTCCTCATCCTCAATGTCTAGTCAGGAATCAGTTCTAACTCCTTAATATTTCTTATGTCTCCTTAATATTTATTTCCATTTTTCCTGCTACTGCCTGGCCTTCACTTGAACTACTATACATGTGTTCTAACTGGTTCTACAGCTTCAAGTTTCACCTCTTTCCCACCCAGGTCATCTTCCTCTGAAATAATCTAACATAAGTTTGATGATGTCATTTGCCTACTTGAAATCCTTCACTGGTTCCTCAAACGCAGTGAGGTTTCTCAGCTCCAGTTATGAGCTGGCCAACTTAGTGATCTGGCCTCTTCTTTGGACATGCCCGACAGCATCCCATCTATGTTTTAATCTACCAAGCTACAACATTTTCACTTCCTTCAACACTCCACACTCACCCCAGGCTCTTGTGTCCAGTTAGGTGCTATTCATAAACTGTTCTAAGAACCAGCAACAATAATGTGTTGAATAAGATAGGGCTTAGCTCTAGTGTGGCTGACAGTGAACAAACATACATCAATAAGAAATGTCACCCAGTATTCAGTGCTATGAAGAAAAAAGGTGAGGATGTCATGATAGGGAGTGTCATGGGTAGCTCCTTTAATTTGAATAGTCAGGAAAAACCTCTGTGAGGAAGTGACATTTAGATAGAAATCTGGGTGACAAGAACCCAGCCATGAAAAGAGAAAGTAAATTGTTCCCTTAGCTATATGCTCCTCCTACCTCCATCTGTCTTTTGTAGAACTCCTCCTTTGGAATTATAGATCCTAGCTTAGCCAAGTTTTCCTTCAGGAGTTGTTTGGTTCTGGAACCTCAAACACTGGGTCAGGTGCCCTTTATTATGAGATCCCAAAGCACCAAGTTCTTTTTTTTTTTTGAGATAGAGTTTTGCTCTTGTTGCCCAGGCTGGAGTGCAATGGCACAATCTTGGCTCACTGCAACCTCCACCTCCTGGGTTCAAGTGATTCTCCTGCCTCAGTCTCCCAAGTAGCTGGGATTATAGGCATGGGCCACCAAGCCTGGCTAATTTTTGAATTTTTAGTAGAGATGGGGTGTCTCCATGTTGGTCAGGCTGGAGTTGAACTTGTGATCTGCCTGCCTCAGCCTCCCAAAGTGCTGGGATTACAGGCATGAGCCACTGTGCCTGGCCTCCAAGTTCTTATCTCTATTGAAGCACTTACACTGTGAATATCTGCCAATCTTCCTATTTCAATTTTTATTTACACAATGAATTTCTTGTTAAAAAAAAGTTTAAAAAGTATGAAAATTAGTCCTGACTGCTCCTCCCTCACAAAATCCCATACTCCTTCCCAAACGTAACTATTTCAGTGTGTATTTGCCCAGATCCTTTCTTGTGCTTGTGCATGTGTGTTACAGTACTATATAGGTATGGGGTTTATTTTTTGTTCTTTAAACAAAAGATATCACTGTACGTGTTCTGGCACAACTTTCTTTTTTCACTCAAAAATATCTTTGAGATCTTCCAGAATCTATTTCTCTATGCATCTACAGCTTCCTCATTCTTTTCTTTCTCTCTTTCCCTTTCTTTTCTTTCCTTCTCTCTCTCTCTCTCTCTCTTTCTCTCTTTCTTTCTTTCAGATGGAGTCTCACTTTGTCACCCAGGCTGTAGTGCACTGGCTGGAGTTCAGTGGCGCGATCTCGGCTGACTGCAACCTCTGCACCCCAGGTTCAAGCGATTCTCCTGCCTCAGCCTCCTGAGTAGCTGGGATTACAGGTGCCTGCCACCTCACCCAGCTCATTTTGTTTTTAGTAGCTCCAGGAAGATACACTCCTTTTATCTTTCAATTCTGCAAACCCTCTGATATATAGCAGCCAGCAATGTGACTATGCATACCTACTCTATTTGCTTGCTCACTTGACTGTCTGGTGCACTATATACACACACATATACCCACATATACATATACATGTTACTGGGCACACTTGTATCTCATTTACTTGTTTGTCTCCGACTGAACACAAGACTTTGAACCCTTGAGGGCAGGCACTCTTTTTCATCTTCATCCCTCCCAGTGCATACCAGAGTGCCTGCCAAAGCGTTACTGTTCAATTAATATTTATTTACTAAATACTTTCCTAGAAATAGACCCCAGTTGGGAATCTGTTCCAATATATACTGAAGTATTTATGAATAAAACAATATTCGGTTGGGATTTACTTAAAAATAAACAGGGCATGGAGGGGGCAGTAGGAAGTATAAATGAACAAGATGGGTGATGGATACTTAGGGGTCCATTATATTTGTCTACTTTTGTATATGTTTGAAATTTCCATAGTTAAAAAAAAATCTCAATTTTTAACTCTACTCCCTAAGGATTCTGATAATCTGATTAGTATTTAAATACTCCACTCTGTAGTGAAGAGAGAAAACATACTTATTTTGTACAAGCATGCAAAGCAGTGTGATACTACAGTGATTGCTATGAAAGGGTGGATGTAAAATATCAGAGTGGTAATAAGCAAATTAAAACTCATTAACAAAATATTGACATTATTAAGACTATGGTCTAGTAATTATACCATGTTATGTTTCACTGTTTTCGACAACAGAGAACAATCTTGTTCAACTGTCTAGTTATATATAAAGATTTAGAAGTAAAGAGGTGCTTAAAATACACAAACAATTATATGGTAGGGAAAAAAGAATGTGCTTTTGCTTTTTAATGCACAAATACTAATTCAAAGTAGTATATTAACTCAAAGTAATCCTTCTGGTTTCAGCATTGTCCATTTGATAATGTCTATGACAAAACAAAGTTTCTGATTTAAGCATGAACTGGTTAGGCAAACAGATATAGCAGGTGAAAATACAGTAAAAACAAGGTGGTTAATTACTGTGTCAATGCCTGCAGTAAGATTATATTAATTCTCCCGATGAGAGTAGGAAGCAATGTTATATAATAACCAAATTTCCCATATATATTGGAAATTATTTATAAAGAGCTATACACCAAAAAACTTCTTGAGTTCATTGTTGGCTTACCTCGTCTGATCCTTCTTGAATGGAATAATACGTAAAATAATTCCCAAAATAAGCCCCTTCTGATCTGAAAACAGATCCATCTCCAGGATAAATCTCTATTGAGTTCATATTTTGATGGGTAAGTCTAAGAAAGAGAAATAACCATTAAAATTTTTTTCTACTTGGGATTAAAACATGCATGAAGATAGTCATCAAAAAACAATAAAAACAAAACCTAAGCAAAGCAGCACAGTCTTTTTGCCTGTACAGTGAAGCAGATAATTTCATATTCTGAACCCAACCAGCTAAATTAACTCTTTCACAGAAAGATAAATGGAATTGGTTTATGCATTTATTTCAACAACTAAACTCAGAGCTTCTGGAATTCAGGCATTTTGTCTTATCTGATATCCCCACTGCCAATCATAAGGATGGCATGAAAGAGTCACCAAAGCAATGTCTATTGCAAATGAGTTAAATATAACATTTCCAGAGCTTGAAAATAGATTAAAACTAGTGGAACCAATACTTTATGGATAAGATTAGTCATCAGTACAAGAGGCTATCCCTAAGAAAAGGTAGCTGTCCCTGCAGCAGCCAGGTACAAACAAGGCATTGGGTATATACCACATAGAAACTTAAGCCAAGTTAATTTTATTAACATACATGTTAGCATATGTTATCAGAAGGAACAGGTCTTCACATAGGAAAAGGGAGAGCCCGCTCACTCTCCAAAAATTTAGCAGTGCTCTTCTGGCATTATTCATGGAAGTGAAATTGTCAATCTGGCTAACTCTAGTATTCTAGTCAGTAGAAGTGTATCCTTTGTTGTGGGGGAGGGATAATTCAGTGGAATAGTGCTGGTAGAGCAGCCGTTCAATGAGTATTTGCTTTGCGAATGAAGGCCAAAATCTCTCTTAGGTGATCTAACTTCTCTAATACTGTAATCCGGGGAGCGTACTCAGCTCCCTCCCAGTTCTGAAGAGGTTCTTATCCTCACTAACCTAGAAGAATGGGGAAAGGGGCCCTGGAGGTGAGGTGAGTTTGCCTTTCGTGGACCCAGAGTTTTTGCAGAAAAGCCGTTTATTAGACAAGAGAGACAGAGAGAAAAGCAGCTCCCATGCTGTTGTGGGTGGGGACCCAGAGAAGGAATCCATTTGGTAAGGAGCAGCTGAATTTTAACCCTTGTTATTCCCCCCATTCATGTTCTCATCCAATGAGAGTAGTTCTTTCAAACTTCCTCTGGAGTGATTGATCTTTGACTCTGATACCGGATTGGCTATTTGGTCCACAAGTCTGAGTTATAGAGCCCTCTCCTCCCAGAACTTTCAGTGGTGTTTTCGGGGGACAAAGGAACCTACCTGGCTTTCCCCACCTAGATCTGGTAGAAACCCAGACAAAAGAACTTTACATTTGAAACCCCTCTGGTTCCCGGATGGAGGCCTGGAGCCTGGGAAACTCCTGCCTTTGAAACCACACCCCTTGAGGATGGGAAGAGAAGTTCCTCAATGCCATGCTCAAGCAATCCTGTTTTGACTAATTCAAACAACGTGATCCTCCAATGCTTGGAAGGGGTGACCTAAATAACTGATATAAGTATTACATTCACTAGCAAAACTGAACCCTCACTGGCTTTGGAGGTACCACATATAAAAATGGTTAATATGAGTGAGTCACAAGACCTCCGTGTGCACTAATAACATTAGTTTTGAGACTTGTCAAATTCAGGACCAAACACAGGAGCACAGTTGGTCCAGCAGAACTGTGTCCTCTTCTGAGAGTCTGTCTACAGCTAGTCCCACCTTCTCTGTGACATCAATAAACAGCTCTAAGTCCAACACAGGAGGCAACACAAGTGACTTACCTATATGTAACACCTTTGTACCAAACCATTTTCACTAGTTCAGGATAGGAATATTCATCAGATTGTTTCTGTAAAAGTGAATCACAAAAATTCCACCTGTGAAGGATAAAATACAAGCTATTTTTGCTGGTTGCTCAATATAATTGCATTTAGAAGTTAACAAAATAGTGCTACTGTAACAAGATTAATTTCTTGTTTAACTCACTAGATCAAATAAAAATTAATATGAAGGTATATTAATGAAACATAAAAGCAAATCTTTTTCCATGTAATTTTTTCAGTATTTTCAATAATCTCATTATTGAATCTCAGCACAATAACATAAATTAACAGTTTTACTAACATTTAAACTTTAGTCTGGATTAAAACAAAAAAATACTGACATATCTATGGTGGGCCAAGCACTGTGCTACACACACTGTGGATATCATAAGGCCAGTTGCCTCGCCTGGAGCTTGGACACGCCCACTTCTGCACTCAGCACCTAGCCCGCCTTGGAAAACCCCTCTGCACTCAGGACTAAGCTCTGCACTGGGCACCTAGCCCGCCTTAGAAAACCCCTCTGCACTCAACACTAAGCTCTGCACTTGGCACCTAGCCCGCAGTTGGAAAATCCCACCTACCTACCAATAGCAGTCTGCCCCAACCACACCCTGTTTCCCCATAACCAATCAAATGCCTTCACTCCCTATAAAACCCCATGCCCAGAAGAGTCAGGTGTAACTTCCCTGGCCTTTCCCGAGGACCAGGGAACCTCGCACGGGAGCTGAATAAATTGGCATTTAATCTTTTTGTGCTGGCCTCAGTTTCCTCATTTTAAACTCGGCGATAACTCTTACAGATATAACAACCAAAGAAAGTAGATATGGTCCCTGCCCTCAATGAAGATTCCTACAGCAGGGACGTTAAATAGTAAACATTGAGTGTAAAGAAAAGGGAGGTACTGTATGCTATGGAATTGTATAGGACTTAACTTGTTTAGGGTAGTCAAGAAAACCACCTTAAAGAAGTTGGGTTTAAGCTGAAACCTGGAAATGAGCACGAGTTAGCTAGTTGAGAGAGAGAAAGAGAGAGAGCTCCTGAAGAGTAAAGAGTAGGTGAAGTGGTCAAAGAGAGCTTGAACAAGCATTTCAGGGATTGCTAAAGTCCAGCTTATTAAGAATAGAGAAAGCAAGGGCAAGAGTAGTGATAGAGTTGAGGATTACAGATACAGGAAGGGACTAGATCACAAAAGACTTCATAAACTATATTAAGGATAATGGATTTCAACCTAAACATAGCGGTTATTGAAAAATCATTAACTTTGAAGCATAAATCCCTTTTGATGTGTACTCATAATACTCAATTTTCTCATTTTAACCAGATAATCATGACAAGCTAATAGTCATTCCCGTATTTTTGTTTTAAATGACAAATGTATACTCAAGAGATTGCCTGGGATCAAATCTCAATTTTACAAGTACTAGCTGTGTGCCTTTGCTCAAGTTATTTAACATTTCTGTGTCTCAAGTTCCTCTACAATATAGGGATGATATCTTTTTTTTTTTTTTTTTTGAGACGGAGTCTCGCTCTTGTTACCCAGGCTGGAGTGCAATGGCGCAATCTCGGCTCACCGCAACCTCCGCCTCCTGGGTTCAGGCAATTTTCCTGCCTCAGCCTCCTGAGTAGCTGGGATTACAGGCACGCACCACCATGCCCAGCTAATTTTTTTTTGTATTTTTAGTAGAGACGGGGTTTCACCATGTGGACCAGGATGGTCTCGATCTCTTGACCTCGTGATCCACCCGCCTCGGCCTCCCAAAGTGCTGGGATTACAGGCTTGAGCCACCGCGCCCGGCCATGGGATGATATCTTTTTAACTTCATGAGGTTACTTTTAGAATCAAACAGGTAAAGTCCAACAGTTCCTGGCACCTGTTTTGTGTTAGTTATTATCATTATTACCGCACTATTTATTCGAAGTTCATGTTACAAATCTATAATCCTTAGTGGAGGAAAAGGCTTTATATCTAGCCATCCAGAAGCCTCTCGATGTGTACCCCTTTTGAGAACAGACATATTTATAGTCAGTGAACCAAAGACATGGGTAGCCTCTGAAGCTAGGTATGGACAAAAGAACTGTGTCAGATCCACACTCCAGCAAGCAAGGTCACAGGCTCCAGTGAGCAGCAGCAGGTGCTCTCCTATGCCCACAGAGCCCTGTGCAGATACCTGTCCCATCATTTAGCATAGTTTAATAATCTTTTTAGGTACAGCGACCTTCACTAGATTTTAAGTTGCTATAAAACAGGGACTGTGTCTTAGTCATTTCTTCAGTCACTGGACTTATCTAGTGTAGAGTCAGCCTTCTATAAATATTCAATGCATGGACACAGAGTAAGAAACATGAGGAACACATTTGCTAGGGAGATTATTTACTATCAGTTAAAAGCAAAATTTTGGATGAGCTAAATAAACTTTCCTTATGAATGGTATCAGATAAAAAGGAAATTATCCAGGTAAAGGCTGGCTCTGATAAAAGCTTCATGATCAATAGCCATTCTTGCATTACCTGTGCAGGTGTGGGACTGGACAGCTGAGTGACAGGGCCCTAGGAAGAACAGAAATGACTTTTCCTCTTTCCTCTGAAATATCAGAAGCTAAAAATCTACTCTGAGTGATGTGTGCATCAATTTTAGACATATTGCTGATTTTATTATGAAAATGAAGTGCTAAAGACAAAGGATATTTCCATTCCTGTGGACAGGCAGCCACAGACCAGCACTGCTTTACCCATGTGTATACACATGTGTGCTTTGTACCAGGTGAAGGCAGCTCTTCCCTCCCTTCAGTTCCATGTACACAACTCATCTTCTTTAAAGTTTCTTTGGATTTCATGATCTGGCAATGAAGCTCATTTTCTTTATTCTTCAGTCTCTGTCCTGATAAATTTCCATGTGTACAGATTTTGCCAGCTTTTTCAACTAGTTTATCTTTTGGGACTTTATTGTTTGTTTCTGACAACACTGCAGATGAGTCTGGCCTCTGGCTAACTTTACACAAAAAATATACTGTAAATTCATGCTGAGATCTGGGCAGGCAGAGGTAAGCATGACCATCTAAAGATGTTATCTTCACGATGCCACGCTCCATACATATCATGCTACCATCTGTATCAAGATGGGGCCATCTCACTTCTGTGATGTCAATAAAGATATGCTGAAACGAGGGGGAAAAAGATGGTGAGTATTTTCTGTTAACAGTCCAATTTTTCCATACATTTGATATTCAAGTATTGTGTAAGGAAGCTGTTAAATATTCGTGTTTTACTATCTAGAGAGAATTGAAAAATGGAGGGACAGATCTCAGCCTATATATGATTTTCCAGGGAATATTTAAGATGATCTCCCTTAAAAAAAAAAAAAGATGTAAAACACACATACACAAAATGAGAGAAATAATTACATTTAATGTTAAATATATTTTGGTTTTAAATGAACAATGAATCAGAGATAAACAAATTTGCACCCCTCCCCCAACCCTGCAAAAGTTTACTCTGAAAAGGATTAGACATAAGGGAAGACCAGCACTATGATATACCATATTAAAACCAATCATAGCTAAAAAATTGTTTTTAAGTATCAAATAAAAAATAAATAAAAGCAATCATAGCTTAAATGGTATGGGACTAGCATAAAAATTATTGACAGAACAACTCAGAAAATTCAAAAACAAACTCAATCATATCTTAAAATGTTATATGTGATAAGTTTTTCAGAGCAAGGGAGAAAAGAGAAAATTATTTAATAATTGCTACTAGAATTACTGAACAACATTTGGGAAATTCCGTCTTGGAGGGTTACCACATGGACTAAATAAGATAACATGTATAAAGAACCCATCCTGGGTAGTACCTGGCACACCATACACTAAAATAAATTCCAGGAGGCTTAGAGAGGAACATTTTAAAAAGTTTCATTGCTCAAAGAAAAATCGATCCTAATAACAGACTCATAACAAATAACAGTATTGGTTGTGCCTTTTCATATGTTATAAACAGTATATACTACATGAGAGTTTTTTATTAAGTTAATTTTGCCAAGCGTTTAGCATTTCAATTCCATTTATGTAAAACCTTATATTTACACAAACTATTGTCAAGAAAGCTTCCTAAATTTACTATGCTACCTATGTGTATGTTAGGACACTAAATTGAGGGCTATATTTATTGACAGCAAGGCTGAATCCTTTGTAAGGATGGTCATCAGTTAAAGTCCTCTTTTAGAATTAGACTATGTAATAATCCTGCTGCAGCATCAGCAACATGCTAAGCAGTTTCAGTGAATAAAGTGACTCAAAAGATGCAATGGAAAATTACCCTTCTAGACTAAGTTACAACTTAAATTTTTTATGGCTCCTTTGCCACAATATAAAATTACTCAGCCAGCAGGCATCTTGATGGCATAGAAAGGTAGCAGCAGAAAGTAGTTGAGCAATAGAGTTTACAAAGTCAGACAGACTAGGTTCAAATCCTGACTTTGCCACTTAGAAAATCACCATAGACAAATTTGGTAAACTCTCTGAGGCATAATTTCCTTGCCTATAAAAAGAGGCTGCCATCTATCCAATATACCTGTTTTGATTGGATGGACATCCATTTTGATCAGTATGGTGTTATTAAATATTTCCAATATTGTTCATAGTTGTTGGACATAGTAGACACTCAGTAAATGACAGTTGTTATTATTATTACTAAAAGTCCAAATAAAATACTATGTAAGCAAATTAATAAAAGATCATACCCATAGTACACATCTTTACAATATGCATATAAATACCACACATTATTGAAAATGGTCACATAATTTCTTAATTTTGAGACCTCTGAGAATGAAAAAGTCACCAATCTAAAAAATTCTGATTATAATCCTTGGCTACAGAGAAAATGGCAAGGGGATAAACTATGTAACTTCTATGTGTCCTGAAAACTGTCCTGAAAAAGAAAAAAAAGGCCAAACATTAAATTACCTCTTTCTAGTTACTTGTCCTCAAATAATACCAATAAAAATGAAGTTAAAAAAATCACCTTTTTTCTTTCGGAAGGTATGATGTTTTCAGATAAAAAAGGGCAAGTAGCTGAAGAATTTCGAAAATCTAGGGCTCGCTGTAGTTGGTCCTATGGAAAAAAATATAAAATATAATCTTAATGTAAAATGATTTGAAAATCAATTAAAAATGACAGTAAAGTATAATCCATAATACTTATTTTCATATTCTAGCCACGTCAATAATATTTTGGTATTCAAGAGTAGTTTTGGCCAGGCACAGTGGTTCACACCTGTAATTCTGGCACGTTGGGAGGGAGAATTACTTGAGGCCAGGAGTGTAAGACCAGGCTGTACAACATAGCTAGACATTGCTCTACAAAAAATTTAAAAGTTAGCCAAGTGTGGTAGTGCACGCCTGTAGTCCTAGAGTAACTCCCTTGTAAAAGGAGGTTGAGGCAGGAGAATCACTTGAGCCTAGGTGTTCGAGGCTGCAGTGAGCTATGATAGTGCCACTGCACTCCAGCCTGAGTGACAGAGCAAGAACCTGTATCTAAAAAAGAAAAAAGTCATTTTTGTGGTATCTTTACTTACTCTGTAAGTGCTAATGACAAAATGTGTCCTTTGACGAATTCTTTCTGGTTGTTCTAAAGGATGTGCTGAAACAGGAGGTGACTTTTCAAATAAAAATTCAGAGCCACAGGGAGAAAGTTGCAATTTGGAACCATCGACATATTGTACTTGTACTGAATCATCTTCATAAAGTACCATTCGTAGTTCGGCTGCCATTACTATGACAGGTTAAGATGTTTTTCTAAGTCAAAGACTGAATGGAATAGGAAACACAAGAGCATAAATAGTTCTCTTAATGTACAAAAGTTTTATCAAAATAAATGGGTGCATTTTCTAAGAAGAGGACATTAGCATTGCACTTACTTTTGTTGGAAGAAAAGTGATCTTACTAGCTATACTTAAAAGATCTGAAATGAACATTCTTAACAAAATGCCTTAATTAACCCCTAGAAGTTTACTCCAATGGAGGAATATAACCAAGAAGAGAAAACAGCCCCCAAAGTTATAACTGTCTAGAATTTTAATAGCTTCATTTCTACTGACATTTAATTTCTGTAAATTATATGCTCATTATTTAGAAGCTCATAATTTCTAGAAGTTTACTCCAATGCAGGAACATAACCAAGAAGAAATTTAATTTCTATAATTTATATGCTCATTATCTCATTTCAAATTTCAAATAATAAGCAAATTACACCTTTGCAGTAAGAATGCAGCAAATTGTTAGCAATACAAATTCAAAAGGTAGGCAAAAGGTAACTATTAGGCCTACGGAAAAAGAACCCTGAAAAAGAAATCCAAATACCGGCAAATCCTGTCCCCACGCTGGCATTAAGGAAGTAGCTCTTTGTTACTACTGTGCAATTTAATCTCCTATTGTCTTGGATTCATCCTCATTTCACTGCATTCAATTTCTGCTTCTCTACCTCTAAAATACTCTTTCTTCACCTATGCTCTCCATATAGCAGTGACAGAAGGGGAATTAAAGAGTTGGGTTTCATTCACACCTTACCATTCACTAGCTAGCTATAAGCCTCAGGTTGTCCCTCATTTGTAAAATGGGAGTAGTAACAGGATTGTTGTGTGGATTAAATAAGAAAACAAATATGACAGGGACTAGCACTGTGGATGCTGCCTTGCAGGCACTCAGTCCATCTTATGAAATTTTTTAAATCCTTTCTAACACTAACCCTTTCTACATTATCCTCTTCTATTACTCAGATAATTGAATTTTACCTGCCAGAAAAAAATAACTTTCCGTAGGCCACACAGTCTGGCCCTATCTACCTCTCCAAATGTCATCTCTCAACTTTCTACGTCTTCAGGGCACTTTATATACACTGGCATTTTTAATGTTCTTTAAATAAGCTGTTTTCCATCTTAGAATCTTTGCACTGTTCTTTCAGCCTGTCCTGTCTTTTCCTTGGCTCATCACAAGTCTGGTTCTTTACCATCATCAAGGTCTCAGCACAAATGTAACCCCTGCAAGGGCCTAACAACCAACTAAGTTAAAGTTGCTCCCAAACATCTCCCGATCATTTGTCATCTCTCTTCAATTTTTCTCCCACTAGGATATAAACTTAACCAAAGTAGGGACTTTGTCTTACATGCAACAGTGTATCTCTGGCATCCAAAATATTATTAGGCAAATAGTAAGGGCACAATTAATATTTGAATGATGAAAACTAAGTAAATTTTTAAAAAAGTATATTGCTCCTCTTGAATATGCAATTTGAATTAATGGCGTCTCATTGTTAGTAGCCAATATTCTAAAATTTGACTTTGCACTGTGTTTTCCTCCATGCCCCTGTAACAAGTCCTGCTGATTTTCTAAGTCTCTCTTTGGAACCTGGCTCTCTTTACCTCCTTTTCTATTTCAGGCCATGGACTCTCCCCTCAACGCCTGCAACTGTCTGGAATTTCATCTCTTTCCAATCCATCTCTAGTATTGATGTCATGGGTAACTTTCTACAAGTCAGACCATACCAACTGCTTTACATCACTTGTTTATGTACTTATCAAATGGCAATATATATTACAGATATATATACATACCCAGGTATTTCAGGGGAAAAAACGGGTGCCGATACATAGGTGGAAAACATTTCCTGATTCCAATTTGAGGGGAAAAAGTCTATCTCTGCCCAAGTTTTTTTTTTTAATAGCTTTATTGAGGAAGTTTTCTAAGTTTAAATAATCAAGCATACACAACAAACAGTGTAATGTCTAAGGTTCTTGGCACACCACAGGAAAACATAACGCGGCTCCGACCCACACTGCCATGCTCATCTCTACTGTCTAATTCCCTCTTGCGTTCTCACCACTCAGCACATTACGTCAGGGTATGTTGAACACTCAAAGCCACAAGTCTGTTCTTGACATGAATGAGAACCTCATTTTTTTCAAAATGCCATAGTCTCTAGTTACAGAAAGAGCCTTACCAAAACAACCACCAACGTCTTGCACTCACAGCAGTTAGGAGCCGAAAAGTTGTGGAAATGATGCCAGCAACGGTTCCTGGCTTTTATTTGCCAAAATGCTCTGGAAGCAGCAGCGTCGGGGCCTGCCCACGACTGCTTGTCCAGGGATTTCTTGAGTTTGACAAGTTACCAGTAAGTTATATTTCTTGATGAAAGAAAAAAAATCACAACCCTAGAGGAATAAGGTCGCAGGGAGAGTGTTTTGACCAAGACGCCCTCCAGGCAGCAGGAAACCAGAGACAGAGTCAACTGTAACTGCTAAAAACAAAGCGAAAACAAAACGGGAGCGGTTCAAAACTCGCCGCTCCTTCCGAGAGCCGCGTAACAGCTCCGCAACCAGGAAGACCGGAAGTCCCGCCCTCCACTCCCGGGGCTGCCCTCGCTGCTCTCGCTGCTCTCGCTGCTCTCCCTGCGAAGTGCGAAGCAGGAAGAGGTGTAGGGTGGGGAGGGCTGGTTCTTTGTCCGGAATCCTGCCAGCTCCTCTTTGATTTTTACTTCCGGTGCTCCACGCGAAAGCGGCCCGACCTGGGTGTTCTAATAATAAAGGCTGCTGAGGATCAGCCTTTTACACATTCCACCCGGGAACTAACCACAGAACACATTTTAGTGAAGTGGAACTTATTTTTAAATAAGCTAAAAAACTATTATACTTCGGTAAAGCTGTTTAAAAAAAAAAAAAAAAAAAAACTTGGCCAAAGGTGAAGAACTCCTTTTCCTAATTTGGTATCAGAAAATAGGCCGTCTGTGTATCTGCACCTTTTTTCCCCATAAGATTGGAAATATACATGTCTGCGGTATTTATTGACACTAAACAAGTGTTTATGTAATGCCATGTGCTTAGGCATAGTGGGGATAAAGCAGGGAAGGTGGCCCGATTCTTTGGGGGTGAGGATGAAAGCTAGAGATTAACTGGAAAGAAAGAATAAACAATCATTTATTACAGTTTGTTTCTAAGATAAAATACAGAGGTTTGTGAGGGCACAGGCAGGCATACCTTGTTTTATTGTGCATTTTATTGTGCTTTGCAGATACTGAGTTTGCTACAAATGGAAGGTCTGAAGCAACCTTGGAGCAAGTGTATGGGTGCCATTTTTTCCCAACATCATGTGCTCACTTTGTGTCTCTGTGACACATTTCAGTAATTCCCACAGTATTTCAAACGTTTTCATTATTTTTGTATCTGTTAGGGTGATCTGTATGATCACTGATCTTTGATGTTACTATTGTAATTGTTTTGGGGCACCACAGATCATGCCCATATGATATGAAATGGCAAACTGAATCTGTTACAGGTAGTTAGGCATGAGCAGGGCAGGAGAGGGCTCTCCCCTCTCAACCCACCCACTAAAAATGTTGGGTGGTGGTTCGGCAATTATCACATTGCCTCTCTAAAAATGATAATTTGGCAGCGCCAGGGAGAGGCCATTTCCTGATGGTCCACACTTGTTAACATTAAAATGTTAACTGAATACAGGCCCGAGAGAGAAGCACCTACCTGGGCATGTGTATTAAGAGAAAACAATGATAAAGTATGACCTTTCTGGTACACTCCACTGGAAAAAGGAAGAAAGCATCAGATGGGCATATGTATAACCCCATAAACACACTGTGTGTGCTCACTTCTCAAGGGTGAGGAAGGCTCTGAGCATGTGAGAGCCCACCCTAACAGAATAATCATGTGAAAGAGGCAAGCTTATGAACGTCCTAGGATCATGGTTAAATGGGGCACTTGACCTTCTCTCTTTAACCTTCACATGCCTAGTTGGGTCTCTTCTATGCTCACCTTCCTTTCCTGTTCTAAGGTATTTTTAAAAATAAGCTTTCAACTCCTGCTCTGGAACATGCCTTGGTCTCTTTTTCTGCTTTATGCCCCTCAGTCAAATTCTTTCTTCTGAGGAGGCCAGGACTGAAGTTGCTATGGACCCATAAGGATAGGCTGCTGGTAACTTGCAGTAACTCAGATCTCTTCCACCGGTAACAAGTTGATCAAAACATACTGCGTGTGTCTGGCTGCTCTACTCAATGGCCGCTCTCATCTCTCTCCCGCTCCTGGAGCCTCCCTATTCCTTGAGACACAACAATATTGAAATTAGGCCAATTAATACCTGTACAGTGGCCTCTAAGTGTCCAAGTAAAAGAGTTATATGTCTCTCACTTTAAATTAAAAGCTAGAAATGAATAAGCCTATAAGGAAGGCATGTTGAAAGCCAAGATAGGCTGAAAGCTAAGCCTCTTGTGTCAAACAGCCAAGTTGTGAATAAAAAGAAAAAATTCTTGAAGGAAATTAAAAGTACTCCTCCAGTGAACATATGAATAATAAGAAAAACCCAAACAGCTTTATTGCTGATATGGAGAAAGTTTGAATGGTCTGGATAGAAGATCAAACCAGCCACAACTTTCCCTTAAACCAAAGCCTAATCCAGAACAAGACCCTAACTCTCTTCAATTCTGTGAAGGCTGAAAAAAGTGAGAAAGTTGAAGAAAAGTTTGAAGCTATCAGTGGTTGGTTCATGAAGTTTAAGGAAAGAAGCCATCTCCATAACAAAAAAGGGCAAGGTGAAGCAGTAGGTGCTGATGTAGAAGCTGCAAGTTATCCAGATCTAACAAAGGTCACTGATGAAGGCAGCCAAAGTAAACAGCAGATTTTTAATGCAGATGCAACAGGCTTCTAGTGGAAGATGTCATCCAGGACTTTCATAGCCAGAGAGAAATCAATGCCTGGTTTCAAAACTTCACAGGACAGGCTGATTGTCTTGTGAAGGTCTAATGTAGCTGGTGACTTGAAGTTGAAACCAATGCTCATTTCCCATTTGAAAATCCTAGAGTCCTTAAGAATTATGTTAAATCTACTCTGCCTGTGCTCTAGAAACAACAGAGCCTGGATGACAGCACATCTGTGTACAGTATGATTTACTGAATATTTTAAGCCCATTGTTGAGAACTACACTCAGAAAAATAGATTTCTTTTAAAATATTATTACTCGTTGACAATGCACCTGGTCACCTAAGAGCTCTGATGAAGATGTACAAGGAGATTAGTTTTCATGCCTGCTAACACAGCATCCATTCTGCAGCCCATGGGTCAATAAGTAATTTTGATTTCCGAGTCTTGTTATTTAAGAAATGCATTTCGTGAGACTATAGCTGCCATAGGAAGTGGTGTTTCTAATGGGTCTCGGCAAAGTCAATTGAAAACCTTCAGGAAAAGATTCACCATTCTAGATGTCATTAAAAACATTTGTGCTTCTTGGGAGGAGGTCAAAATATCAACATTAAGAGGAGTTTGGAAGAAGTTGATTCTAATCCTCATGGTTGAGTTTGAAGTGTTCAGGTCTTTAGCGAAGGAAGCGACTGCAGATGTGGTGGAAACAGCAAAAGAACTAGAATGAGAATTGGAGCCTGAAGATGTGACTGAATTGCTACCATCTCCTGATGAACCTTGAATGGATGAGTTGCTTCTTATGGATTAGTAAAGAAAGTAATTTCTTGAAATGGAAACCACTCCTAGTGAAGATGCTGAATATTGTTGAAAAGACAAAGGATTTTGAATATTACATAAACTTTGTTGATAAAACAACAGTAGGGTTTAAGATGATTGACTCACATTTTTAAAGAAGTTCTACTGTGCATAAAATGCTATCACACAGCATTGCATGCTAAATAAATCTTTATTGAAAGGAAGAGACAAACTTCATTGTTGGTGTATTTTAAGAAATTGCCACAGCTATCCCAGCCTTCAGCAGCCACCACCTGAATCAGTCAACAGCCATCAACACTGGGGCAAGACCCTTCACCAGCAAAAAGATTATGATTCACTGAAGACTCATATCACTTTTATTTTCTAGCAATAAAGAATTTTTAAATTAAGTTACGTACATTTAAAAAATACACTACTGAACACTTAATAAGCTACTGTATAGTATAAATGCAACTTTTATATGTACTGGGAAACCAAAGAATTCCCAACTTACTTTATTGCAATATTTGCTTTATTGTGGTGGTCTGGAATGGAACTCTCAATATTTCCATGGTGTATCTGTAACGAGCAGATTTAACCTAGGCTGAGAAAATATTTCCACTGAAATTTAAAGTTTAAGTACATGTTAGCCAGGTAAAGTAGGGGGGAAAGTATTTCAAGCAGAGGTTAAGGTCCCTGTGTTAAGGCGGTGAGGCCCAAGGGAAAGAGCTTTCTGTTTAAAAGGACTGAAATAAAGCAGGTGTGGTTAAAGCATGGTTAGGGAGGAAAGTAGCCTGAAGGGAAAGGAATCCTGGAGTGGGGTACAGAGATGGGCAGGCAGAGTACAGAACATTAGGGATTTATGGACTCAAGATTTATATTCTCTGACACCAAATTAGGAAAAAAAGAGGTCTCTATTTTTGGCCAAGTTTTTTTTTTTTTTTAACAGCTTTATTGAGGTATAATTGTTTATTACAAGGTGTTTAAGTAGGCCAGGCATGGTGGCTCACACCTGTAATCCCAGCACTTTGGGAGGCCGAAGTGGGTAGATCACCTGAGGTCAGCAGTTTGAGGCAAGCCTGGCCAACATGGTGAAACCCCACCTCTACCAAAAAATACAAAAATTAGCCGGGCATGGTAGCAGGCACCTGTAATCCCAGTGACTCAGGAGATTGAGGCAGGAGAATTGCTTGAACCTGGGAGGTGGAGGTTGCAGTGAGCCAAGATCGTGTCACTGCACTACAGCCTGGGTGACAGAACAAGTCTCCGTCTCAAAACAAACAAGCAAGCAACCAACCAAAAATCCAAAAACACACACACACACACACACACACACACACACACACACACACACACACACACACGGTGTTTAAGCACACATGGCAGCACCATGAGATGGGGAGCAATCTAACCCCCTAATTTATCTTCATTTAAAAAAGGCTGATATATAAATTAATATCAATCTTACATTAAGCATAAATAAAGGCATCGTCAGACGATCACATTTGTATTGACCTGTAACATCAGTTTGCATTATATAATGCTAACTTAGGTCCTATCTCACCCCCACCTTTTACCTTCCAATGTCTAAAAACCTCCTATATAGAAATCCTATCTACTACAGAGTTTTACATTAGATTCTTGGAACTGCTAAGTAGAGAAAGGATTGTAGGATGCAAGAGTTGATATGGATAACTTGGTAGAAGGCTTTTGAAAAAGCAACAGTAGAGATCATGGCAGCTCAGATGCAGCACCTGGGCAGCTCAGATGACAAGCACAGCTCCAAAAAATATTTAGGAGATTGACTTTATATTTGGTGATGATTGAACCTGGGGATAAGGGAGGGTTGAATCATAAGCAATGCCAGGGTTTCTGGTTGGGACAAGTGGATTGGTGGCAGTGCTACTAATGAGAGGGGGA